GACTAACAAATAAAACAGGATAGCACGGATCCTTTCGTACTTGTCACGTCGATCCACGGTCAAAGGTGGCCAAGCTCTTCTTTTTCGGCCCAAAGTCTGGAACATGGTGTTGGTCTTGACCGGTCATGTTTAGGGCCCACGCATCAAACGTACGTCTATGTTTCTCAGCACTTTTTAACGTGACCATAATGGCTGACAGGTCTCATCAGAATTGTCAGCATGATTTGGGTCACCTTTTTTCTCGCTCAGCATCCAGATTCTCAAGAATCTATCCGCAAGGAGGCCACATCCATTATCGAAACTGGAGGTGCCTTCAAACTGGAAGGCTTGCAAAACGCCGTTCTCACGGACTCTTTCATTCGCGAAGCTTTGCGGACGAAAGGGGACAGCGTGAATGCAGTGAGACAGTGCGTTCAAGATGTCGAGCTAGACGGGTTCACAATACCCAAGGGTAGGTCGGCTAATGGAAAGGAACCTTTCGGATTTACTAATACAGTCTCCTTCCGTAGGCTCACTCGTTTTCCCTTTTACCTATCAGTGTTATCGGAACTCAAACCTCATGGAAAACGCCAACGAGTTCATCGGAGACCGGTGGGTTAGCACCGGAAAATCAGCAACAACGACAGGCCTAGAATATCCCGCGTTTGGGCTCGGGCGATGGGCTTGCCCCGGTCGATTCCTTGCCATTAACGGTACGTCTATAAATCATTCTTGCCATTGTGAAGCATCTGGCTCCAGAGGACCATGGCTAATAAGAAGCAGAGTTGAAGTGTTGGGTCCTTGCTCTGGTGGCACGTTCACACCTTGAGCTAGATGGAGGTAAATATGAAGTGATGGATGCATTCAATATCACAGCTTGTGCTCCTGACGGGAAGTTGGTCGTTCGTCGGGTCGAGGCGTAGTCTTCGGAAGTTACCATTAGGAAGTCCATTTCCATCTCCGTTACATCTATCACCGGGCGTCGGGTGGTTTCCTATCCCCACAGCTACCTACCGGTTCCGGACCTCTATGAACAGGCACAGGGCTTCTGTGAGCAAGAAAAGGGCGTTTATTTTCTATTTCACTATGGACTTGCGACTTGGCGACATGTGCCGCTGTGTCGGAAATTCACGAGCTCGGAAGAAAAATGGAGAAACTCGGGGGAAGGCAAGGTGACCAAACATGTTCAAGGGAATACCACATATACGCGTCCACCCTTAATGGCATGTGTCGTCGTCCTTTTCCACCTTTTTCAGCGTCGCGCAGGCTATACGAGCACCAGTGTTATCGTGGAACACAATGGACCGGTCGCCGATGTAGCCGAGTTGGATGGGGTTCAAGGCCGTGTACTTGTCGTTGAAGCTTAAACGTTGGCCGAGTGAGCAAGACAATCCTGATTCTTACCATAACCACGTCACGGTGTATCACTTACTGCTTTTTGACAGCCAACCCAACCACCGTGCCGTATTTGCCCGACAGGTCACCCACTTCGCAGGTCTGAGCATCGTGCTTTCGCAAGAGAGGTGTCTCCGCGCACGTACGAGTCGAGATGACCGCCGGTCTCAGTGCAGTTGCCGCTCTCTGGAGTAGCACGCACGTGGATATGGTACTCTAAGACAAGATTAGTACACTCTCCGCCGTTTTAGCCCAATCCACATACTGTATGGCCCCTTATCCACCACCAAGCCGGTCACATCGAGGGTGTAGTTGATGCCTACAGTGTGAGCAACAGCCTTGACGGTACCCCTGACCGCATCCGAGTTGAAGGTGGAAACCCAGGTCTCTCCGATGACGGGGTTATTCCGGACCTCCTTTGCGTCTCCAAGCGCTCCGGTTGTGACGTTGGGTCCGGTAACCTGGCCGACAGCTACGGCTGCGGCACCCAATAGGGCAAAAAGAGAAATGAGTTGCATATTGATATGACAGATGATTTGTGATCCTCCGAATTCAGGCAGTACAGACAACCGGGCTCCTGGGATTTGCAGATTCGCAGCAACATATAAGTGGAAAAGAAGGAGATAAAAGCATAAGGCCAGCCGTTGCGGACCTCTTTTATAGGACAGTTCGTAGCACCCAGTACTCCCGGTAATTCACCACGGCGAGCAATCCCGGTTGTATCGTGGAGAGCGCTGGACAATATCGAATTGGGGGTCCGAGAAGAGTTTACCGACGTCCACCATCCTTTCCGCCCGGTAAGTCCAGCCCCCCTTCCCGGCTGTATGGGTAAGTTGCCCGAACTTTGAGTGCCAAGCAGGGGTAGACAGTTGTGGTGGGACGAATGGGGTGAACTCCATCTTGCCAAGGGCATCATCTTGATTCGAGATCCGATATGCGTAATCTGTACAACCACACAACTAACTCGATCCGGAAAGCAACAAGGCTTGATAACTAAGCGGCCAAGACTGCCGAGACGCCGAGGTCCGCCGACGGCATGGGAAATCTCTAGCCGAGCATGTCAACCACTTTAGCCCCTCCAGCCCTGGATCTCGTCCAAGGTGAGGACGTAGTCGCTAGTATAGATCTGCTATCTGTTAGCGTCCAAACTTCCTACGCGAATGATACTCTGGGCCGGAAGATATCCTACCGTTTTCAAGTTCTCCGGCGAGTTCCAGTCGGGATTGTTGATGAAGGTGTCACCCCACACAGCGAACCACGACCAGTGTGCCTCGTAAGCCTGCAGCTGGTCGGGGAGGGGTGCAGCGCCAACCTCTGACGCGGCAATCATCTTCTTGTCCTTCCCAAGCTCGATAAGTTGGTTGTACTGGGTTGACATGGGCTGCGAATGCGGTTAGCTTCCAACTTCTTCTCAACACCTTTAACCCCTGACTAGGACGTTCACTCACCCCATTACCCTGAGCATACACATCCGCCGACAGGATATCCACGGTATCATCACCGGGATACCACGATTCCGCCAACGAGTTCCAGACCCAGATCAAGTTATTGATCTCATGATGAACCGTCAACCGCTCGTACAAAATCCCCCACAGCTTCTTCGCCGGCTCAGGCCCCTTCGCTCCCCACCAGAACCAACCCCCCTCGGCCTCATGCAGCGGCCTAAATAGCACCGGCACCTCCGCCGCCTGCAGCCTCTTCAACTCCACGGCAATCGCATCAATATCACGAATCAACAGCGTATAATTCGCATTCGTCGTCGACGCCAACGCCGCCTCAACATCAAAGTCCGTCGCCGCCGTATAAAACCCACTCCACCACCGCTGCTCCTCGGTATCATACAGCCCCGTTGGCGCGTTCCAATGCCACAACACCGACACAATACCCCCCCTCTCATGGTGGGTGATCGCCTCCTCGACGGCCGTGCCCACGGTGCCGCGCTCGACGCGCGACGGCGAGTAGTCCATCAGGTCGACCGACACCAGCGCGGGCGTCTTGCCCGTCTGTTCGGCGATCCAGTCCGCGTAGGAGAGCTCTTGCTGGCCGGAGAGGATCTGCTTGCCGTAGATGGAACGCAGGTAGCTGTACAGGGCGATGGCGTCGGCGTTGGCGGAGGGGTTGACGGGCGAGGGGTTGATGTCGTGCGCGGGGCGCGGGGCGGAGGGGGTGAGTGTGATCGAGTCGATGAGGTACCTGGCGGTTTTGTTTTGTTAGTTTGGTTGGGGGGTATTATTTCTTGAGGTGAAGAGGCCGGGGGACGTACCATCCCCAGTTGCTGACGATTTCGACTGTGTTATCGCCCGCGTTCAACAGGAGCTGCCCGCCGGCAATGTCGGCCCAGGTGTCTGCCGCCGGGAAGAGCACCTCGCTGCTTGCGCCGCCGTTGAGAATCACCGTGGTCCGCTTCTCGCCGTAGATGGCGGCCGCGCGGATGCTGAGGTCGTACAGCTGGGTGGTCTCGCTGTCGATGGTGAAGGTCACCTTGTCGGTGGCGTCCTCGAAGCCAGTCACATAGCCGGTGCCTGAGCGTACGATTAAATTAAGTATCAGTACCCGAAGCTGCGTGGACGAATCATGAATGTGAAGCTCACCAGTGAACCCAGCCTGGGCTGTGTCGACGGTTGTCCCGCCCAGGGTGGCATCTTCAGCCTCGAATACCCGAGGACTCGCACCGCCGCCGCCGGGAGCAGAGCACACAGGAGCCGCACTCGTGCCCGCGGCAAAGGCAGCAACTCCGTAGAGCAAGTATTTGAGAGCCCTGGCCATTGTGGACGTTAACCAATCCAGTGTTGCCGGTACCGAGCCAGGTTCACAAGAAGGGGGGCAGGGCAGTATTAGTATTCGTATAGACGCTTTCTAACTAATCCCTTATATCAATGTCCAACCTTCCCGTCACTACCTGGACGTACTTCGTACATACGTCAACAACGTTGGTAAGGCAAACAGATCCCTTCGTGTTCTTGGGAGTGGGGCCTTTGGGTTAATGTCGGAGCATGGAGCTCCGCGTCTACTTGTCTGGGCCATGGTGCCGCAGACGTCTACAAAACACAATGGTGCATTCGTGGAGAATTTCTCCAGGATCCAATCGCACGGCCTTGGCCGGAATAATCAACGGAATGGGGCACGGATCGGGACAGCTTTCCTGGTCTCCTTCCGGAGTGCTCACAGCTACGGGGGAGAGCCTGAAAGGGTTATCGGAAATAGGTAGTGTAGCCTCGGTGGTTGGCGAGTCCGCCTTGGCACTTGAAATCCGGGCTTTGCTACTTCTTTTAGACTTGGCGACTCCAAGTGCTCAGGGTACCTACCTACCTAGGTAAGGTACTTCGAATACTACCCCCTCCCTAGCATCATCTTTACCTCAACCAAGGGGACTCCAACAACTCGCTCGCATCAGGCCGCTGCTCCGGATCCATCCTGATCATGGACTTGATGAAATCCAAGTACGCCTTCGTTTCGGCTTCCGAAAGATTGGGCACCTTGCTGAACTGCCCCAGGGAGCATGGCGGAAAAGACGACTTCAAGAGGTGGCCTGTGTCATGTCCCGTGTCAGCCAGTGATTACCATTGATATCAAGAGACTCAAGTGAACAAGACCATACCTTTCGAGTCAAAATATTGGTCCCGTCTCTTGGACCGCGCAAGAAGAGAGCTGGGCATTTCGCCTAGAATCGCCGTCATTTGCGCCAAGTGAGCTTCGCCGCTGTAGGGCGCCGCCGGGGTCCAGCTCCCGTCAAAGAGAAGTTGCCCTTCAGTAAGCTCCCATAGCTACAGGGCAAAAAGGGATGTTAGACCCACGATTGGTTGCCAACAAAGAGAAGGTTGAAACTCACAACCAAGCCCAGGTTCCAAATGTCAACTTTGTAGTCCCAGTCCGCGCCGAGAATCACCTCTGGCGCCCGGAGCATCTGCGGCTGAATCCACTCGGTCAAATGCCGGTCAAACCAACTTGCTGTGGAGGGCAGTTGTCAGCATTGTCCTGTGAGGCGTCGTCTTCGCATTGGGGGTCGGGTCAGGCACTCACAGGTTCCAAAGTCGGCGAGTCTGACGGACAGGTCGGTTGGCTGTGTAAGATCTTCCTCAGCGGAGGATATTTGGGTTGATTCCATGTAGAAATCGCCTGGTGGGCCCTGCGGCGTGTCTTCGGGCAGAAATACCTCGGATGGCGCTTGCTCGAACATAGTATTGATCGCCGGCTTTTCCACTAGAATATTCTGCGGCTTGATATCTAACGTTTGAAAAGTCAGCCTCTTTGAAAGCAGGGTGTTGCGTATCATTTACCCGTGTGTATGACATGGCAAGTGTCGTGGAGGTAGGAGAGGGCAAGAAGTAGCTGCCTCGATATTTGAAATCCTCTGCTTGGGGAACAGCCGTCTGTATTTGGACATATCGGGGCCCATCGCCTTGAAGACGAGGCAGAGGTGGTTTCCATGGGGACCGTGATGGCCCAAATTTGTCCGAGAGCCCGAGAATGTGGCCTGACCCGAGGTGGGGTGAGGGTGTCTGGGACTTGATATACCCCAGGATATCCAGTTCAAACGTGTCGTGCTGGCGCCCGTAAGAGTCGGCGGTGAGAACTTTAAGTGCAACATGCCCCTTCGACCTATATGTACCTGGCGTTAGGAGTTCACCGGCTACCTTATTACATGGGGCGTGCAGGCGAAATGGCCTTACTGCGTGTTGCAAGCAAGCCAAACAGTGGAGTAAACGCCAAAACCCAGCTTGCTCACGATTCGGTACTTGATATCGCTGAACAAATCTCCGATCCGAACAGGGTGATAACCTCCATCACAATATCGACCGATGCTCTCCTCGTAAATTGGGCGAAAGGTTTGTAATTGTTGGGGAGCGCGGCCGAGTATCGACTTCAGCAACCACCTTCGCCGAGACGACCGAGCCGCGCGTTGAAACCGAGCGCGAAAGCTCGCGAAGCCATGCAATCGCTCGAGGACGTGGCTACCACGTCGAGGAGAGCGGCGAGCGAGACCACGCGGGCGGTTACGACGCGAGGAGCACGCGCGTCTGGGATTCTATATGGAGCCAACAGCCGGATCGAGACGGGGAAGTCAGGTATACAGATGCTCCTGGAGGCGATCAACGAACAACGAGACGAAATGTACCGAATGATTACCGAGCAGCGAAACACGATTGGCGAACTACGCGAGGTGATTTGCAAGCAGCACGACGCGATTCAAGAACTACATCGCCAACTTGCAGACACCAGGACCCAGCTGTCTGAAGAACTGAGACAAGCGCGGGATCAGATTGATACCCTTCAACGCAACCCGGTAGCCATGGCTTCGTCCCAACCAAGCGCAAGAGGGTCATACGCCGAAGTCGCTCGCACCCCACCATCAAGCCAGCCAAGCGGTGTGCGCACCCTCTCCTCGCGAAACACGACGCCTTCATCCTTTACCGACACGTTGTTCTGTACGATCGATACATCTAGGGTGGAGGAGAAAGAGAAGGGAAACGTCCAGGTGGCGGACATTAGAAAGGCAATCGAGACAGAGGCCAGGGCACAGGAAAGCATGGGAGACTGGCGTTGCGCTGCGGTTGTGAAGGAGGCCCGAAACCCGGACCGAGTCAGAGTAATTTGCAGGGACGAAGGCGAGGTCCAGCTCGTCAAGGAAGCGGCAGTGAAGATCAGTGTTCCTGGAGTGCGGGTATTGAGAGACCAGTTGTACCCGGTGAGGGTAGACAATGCCAACCGAACAGCGGTCCTCGATGCGGACGGAAACATCCTGCCGGGAGCCGCAGAGGAGCTAGGGACAGAGAACGACGTCAACATTGCGAAGATTGCCTGGCTCAGCAGGAAGGATACAAGCAAGGCCTACGGCTCGATGGTTGTCTACGTGACGAAGGGCAGCGAAGCAAGGCGACTTCTAGACGGGCGTTACTTCCATCTCGCCGGAGAATCCGCTTACACGACCGTTTTCGCGCCCCGGGAAGGCCCAACCCAGTGCTACAGATGCCAGGAGATCGGCCATAAGGCCTTCGCCTGCAAAAAGCCGCAAAGATGCGGAAGGTGTGCGGAACAGGGTCACCACCACAAGACGTGTCAGTCCGTGGTCCTGAAGTGCGTGCTATGCAGAGGACCACACGAGTCATTTAGCAAGAACTGTCGGGTACGCTGGTTGAACAATGGGGCCCAAGACGCTTAAGATCCTTCAGCTCAACGTCCGCAAACGGAGAGAAGTGCAGCAGAGTCTGCTAAACGACGAGGGACTCAAGGACTTCGCAGTGCTGGCCATCTCTGAACCATATGCCAGGCTGATCGAAGGCTCGGTGACGACGGTCCCAATGAGTCATCACAACTGGACGAAGCTGATACCAACGACAAGACGAGAAGCCACGTGGCCAATTCGGAGCATGCTATGGTACGAAGCGATATAGAGGTCGAGCAGATTCCAGTGCCGTTGGCAGACCTCACCGCAGCACGCATCCGGCTCCCAGACCGGGCAGTGCTGATGGTGGCAGTGTATGTGGAGGGTGGTAGTGACGAAGCACTGGAAGATGCAATGAGGGAGATTGACCTAATGATTAAGAGGTTTCGAAACGGAACAGGGACGAGAACGGACATCATACTGGCGGGCGATTTCAACCGCCACGACCAGCTTTGGGGAGGGGACGATGTCTCACCACGGAGACAAGGCGAGGGAGACCGCATCATCAACCTCATGGACGAACACTCCCTCTGCAGCCTCCTCCCAAGAGGCACGAAGACGTGGCAGTCAGGCGACATTGAGAGCACAATCGACCTGGTACTGGCCTCTGCAGAACTAGCAGACCAACTACTCAGATGCACGATTCACCCCTGCGACCATGGCTCAGACCACAGAGCAATCGAGACAGCTTTTGACACCACGGTGGAGGACCGTCCCAGTGAGACGAGGTTCCTCTTCAAGAACGCGCCCTGGGCGGAAATTAGGACTAGGGTGGCAGCAAACCTCGAACGCATCCCCTGGGACGGCAATGTCCAGCAGCAGACGGACAGGCTCATGGCAGCGGTAACCGAGGCGGTCTACGGCCTGACACCTAAAGCCAAGCCCTCACCATACGCCAAGCGGTGGTGGACAACAGACCTGACACGGCTTCGCCAGACATACACGTTTTGGAGAAACCAGGCGAGATCTCGACGTAGGATTGGGCAAACAGCACCAGAGCTCGAACAACGAGCCAGGATGGCAGCCAAAGAGTACCACGACGCCATCCGCAGACAGAAGAGTTCGCATTGGAACGACTTCCTGGCCCGATGACGCTAACATCTGGCAAGCAACGAAGTATCTGCAAACCGGCAGCGGCACGATGGGCGATAAGATACCCCCGCTCGTCCGACCCGATGGCTCCATCACGGAGGGTAAAGCAGAACAAGCGCAGGAGTTACTCACCGCCTTCTTCCCACCTTTGCCAGCGAGAATCGAAGACGAGGGCCAACGACCTCAACGGGCGCCGGTACACATGCCAGACCTAACAATGGAGGAGATAGAACAAAAGGTCCTGTCCGCTAAGCCATGGAAGGCGCCCGGGGAAGACGGTCTACCGGCAATGGTATGGAGACAGCTCTGGCCAGTGGTCAAAGACAGGGTGCTCCATTTATTCCGGACGTCGCTTCGAGACGGCGACATCCCCAGCCAGTGGAGGAATGCCAAGATCATCCCATTGAAGAAGCCAGGGAAGAGCGAATACACTCTAGCCAAGTCCTGGAGACCCATCTCGCTGCTCTCCACGCTGGGTAAGATACTGGAGGCAGTCATTGCGGAGCGTTTATCCCATGCTGTGGAGACCTGCGGCCTTCTACCCGCCAACCACTTCGGAGCCAGGAAGAGACGCTCGACCGAACAGGCTCTCCTTCTGCTTCAGGAACACATCTACAAAGCATGGAGAGCTAGGAAGGTGCTCAGTTTGATCAGCTTCGATGTCAAGGGCGCATACAATGGGGTCTTCAAAGACAGGCTTCTCCAGAGGCTCAAGGCAAGAGGGATACCTGAACCCCTGGTCAAGTGGATCGACGCCTTCTGCTCCAAGCGCACAGCGACCATTGCCGTAAACGGGTTCACATCTGGACGGCAAGAGCTGCCCCAAGCGGGTCTTCCGCAAGGATCGCCGCTGTCTCCAGTGTTGTTCCTCTTCTTCAACGCCGACCTAGTGCAGCACAAGATCGACGCGAACGGAGGCGCAATTGCCTTCGTGGACGACTACACTGCCTGGGTAACGGGCCCGTCAGCGGAGTCGAACCGCACTGGAATCCAAGCTATCATCGACAAAGCCCTTGACTGGGAGAAACGGAGCGGTGCGCAGTTTGAAGGCGAAAAGACAGCCATCATACACTTCACGAGGAACATGGAGCGATTTTCAGAACAACCGTTCTCGGTCAAAGGCGAAGTGGTCAAACCGAAGGAAAGTGCGAAAATCCTAGGTGTCGTGATGGATCGCGAACTCCGCTACAAGCAGCACATTGCTAGGACGGCAGCTAAGGGCCTCGCAGCCGCTCTGGCCCTGAAGAGGCTGAAGATGCTTTCCCCGCGGACAGCGAGACAGCTATTTGTTGCGACAGTAGCCCCGGTCATGGACTACGCTGCCAATGTCTGGATGCATGCGTGCGGGGAAAAAGCACTGAGCTGGCTGAACAGGGCGCAGAAGATCGGGGCCCTGGCCATCACGGGAGCCTTTCGAACCGCGGCAACAGCCGTGGTGGAAGCTGAAGCGAGCATCTACCCTGTACGAGAACGACACGTCCAGGCGGCAGCCAGTCTGTGGATCAACATCCACACGCTGCCCGGAACGCATCCCCTTGCCATGAAGAAAGTCCGGACCACCGTACGATTCGTATCTCCGCTGCAGAAAATTGCCCGCGTGGCTGAAGGAGTACGAGTTGACCGGATGGAGACAATCCAGGAATACGCCGTCCCGCCCTGGGTACCTCGCCTACGACCGACGCTCGAAGCCGATCGAGGGAAGGCGGCCGAGATGGTCAACAAAATTTCGGGAATCGTGATCGCAACCAGCTCATCCGTAAAGAAGGGCATTGTTGGCATGGGCGGCCTTGCACGGGATACTCTCTTCAACAGAACTAGCGAGACTGTGACAAACTATGCTGTTGTTCTTGGGACAAGGGAAGAGCAGAACCCATATACAGCAGAGCTAGCAGCCATCGCAATGGCCCTGGAGAAGTTACCGGCTAGCATCTGCCACAGGCGCATCACCGTGATCACTAGGAACCAGTCAGCGCTGGCAGCAGTTGGACAGCCGCGGCAGCAATCCGGCCAAAGCATCATACGGCAAATTTACGACTTGACCAGGCTGCACCGACAAAGAGGGAACTCGGTCAACTTTCTGTGGATACCAGCGGAGATTGACTTCGCGCTGGGGTCAGATGCCAAGGCAGCAGCCCAGAGAGCGTCGAAGCAAGGACGCACACCCGACTCCCAAATACCCCAGGCCAAGTCTACCGCGATGAGGCTGGCAATGGAAAGACAACGGGCGACAAGAGTTCTACCTGTAAGCGTGGGCAAGTTCTCAAAGGCCATGGACGCAGCACTACCAGGCAAGCACACGCGCGATCTCTATGACAAGCTGAAGCGAAGGGAGGCCTGCGTATTGGGCGCAGCTCCGAACCGGAAATGGCGAGACTGAACGGTTTTTTGAGACAGGATTGGGGGCGGTCGAAGTCAGACCCTTTGTGCCTGTGGACAAGCGAGGGGAATCAGTGGGAACACTTTCCTTTTCCGATGCGTGAGATGGACAGCTCTGAGGGAAGACATGCTGCAATGCACAGTGGCAAGACGAGGAAGCCTCTCGTTCTATCTGGGAGGGAAAGCGCCATCAGATACAAGGCATTGGTCACCAGATATGAAGGCAGTCCGGGCGACGATCAAATACGCAATGGCAACAGGAAGGCTGGAGCTGAATGAAGAGGAGAGTCTAAACCAGTCACAGTAGAAGAAGCCGACACTCAACACCACGAGCCTCAACCACGAGCCTTAACCAGCAGGTCCCGCTTTAGCTGCTGAAGATAGGACGCTGAACACTTGGAGAAAGTAGCCTCCAAGCTGATCTGCTAACAACAACCAAGGCAAGAGGTAAATGGTGCAGCGAGAAAGAGGGAAGAAGTAGGGGGGCTTGTACGAGTTAAACGCAAAACGATCTGATCCGGATGTAGCTAGCGTGCTAAGGCCCTATAGGCCCAGTGCCTCCGGGCGAAATAAATTCCATCCATCCATCCATCCATCCGATGGCAACGCTGCAAACACACGACGCTCCGGGGCCCGCCCAAGTCCAAGCTGTCATTATCCGGTGCAACATCGATAAAATCAGATCTCCGCCTTGGTCCGCGACCACAATCTCCGCCGACCATCCCGTTTTCTCGCAGGCTGTCCCTTTCCCTCCCAGGGCTCATCGGGATCCCGCTGGTCGTCCACCGCGTAGGCACGCGGTTCCGCCAACCGCGCTGACCTCGACAACCAGATCGTCACGTACCTCAACATCGACCCCAACTCCGGGTTTGCGCCCCCGGCATGGCAGTCACATGTCGGCACCGTCGTGGCCGCGCGCAAGGACAAGAAGCCGTTACTGCCGCACCATCTCGAGGGTGTGTGGATGTACTGCGATTACATTCTGGACCTCTTTGGCGAGGGAGGGGGGGCGCCGACACGGTTGTATAGTCGGCAGGCCTTTGAGAAGTGGTGGGGTGATTACTGTGAGGAACAGAAACGGCTTCGGACGGGGGATGGAGGCGAGAAGGATCCGGATGACTGCCGGGCGGTAAGGTCGCCATATGAAATGTGAGACTTCCGCCAGGACAGGGCAGATTCAAATGACTAGCCCTTGAGAATGTACACCCCTGCTGTTCTTACGTATCGCGACCGTGACCCTCAAATACGCGTCTCGCCCCCGCAGCTACCCAGACACGTACCAAGTTCCCAAGTCTCTGCGCACTCATCATTCTCTAGCTCGCCGACTTTGGTAGCAACGTTGTCCAAGCTTTCCCTGGATGGCTTCAGCGGCGACTTTACCGAGCCCAAGAACGTCCTCGACAAAGACATAAGAGAGACTATCCTCAAGCTAGAAAGAGCGAGCGAGGAGACCAGATAGCGGTTCGAGGAAGACCACAGTCAGCGCTGTCAATAAGTCAAGTCAAGTCAAGTCCGAGGCCAGACTTAACTTGACTTGACGGATTTGAGCCGGACTTGACTTGACCAGCCCTACTGTGTAGAGTTGACTTAACTTGGAAGACTTGCCAAGAAAAGACCTCGGATACGGTTCTTCCAAACCCGATATAGATACAAGATGGGGCCTCCAAAACTGTCATGAGGCCACAACGCTCCCAAATAGTTCCCCACGCGCCCAATTTCGTATACATTAAAATTCTGATAACGTATTGTCGCTAAGGGAGTGTCGTTGTGACCCTATCGCGAGCTTTGCGAGGCTGAAGGTCCGCTCACATTCCGTTGCACAGGGAGGTATTGAAAGTATTTCGAGCGCCATTCTCGCGAGGCGTGGGTATTCGTCTGTCAGAACTGCCCAATCCTCGGAAGACAGTACAGCTTCGTCGCTGAGATTCCCTAAACGATTATACCGGGCGCTGAACTTGGTGAGCGGATCGCGGAGAATGAGGGCGCGCTCAATCATATGGTATGCCGAGTGCCAGCGGGTATACGTTATCAGCCTTCAGCCGAAGGTTTCGAATTGCAGGGTCAACGAGAATAGCGCCAATTTCTTCTTCTGCCTCGGTGAGCTTGCCTATGGAGGGAACATCGAATCAGCACTTAATATATTATTAGTTATTATTATTATTCATACTCCGCTATGCCCTAGGGCGTGCCGGACCCTCAGCTATTTAGTGTACAGGAAAACCGTGCCCTCCCGGGCCGGCTGAAAAACCCATACCAACAATTAAGGAACGATGCGTTCTGGTGAGTCTGCGTATACAAAGAGAGGAGGCCTCCTGGCCTCCGGACGGGGGCGTTTCAGGCCGCCGCTTCCAGCTCGAGCCCCCTGGCTAAGCTGTACATCGGCAGCTTCCCCAAGTCCATCAGCCAGTCGAGGATCCTCCTCGCGAGCCGTGCAGTCGTGGGATTGATGCCGTGTAGAACAGAGTAAAAGTCCCGTCGTGTTCGAATTCCAGTTCTCTCCCATCTTCGAGTCAACGGTGGGGCTCAGCACTTAATATGATGTCTTGTTGGGGGAGGTCGGTGATAGCTTTCGCATCGCGAATCTGCTCCTCGAGGCTCTTCTTGGTGCGCCCGGCACAGCCGAGCGCGTTAAACGCGCTGGTCGCATTAGGGCGCGAGGAGATATCGTAATTTATCCTCGGCGCAATGGAAATATCGTCAGAATCGGGAACTGCGGAGGCGGTATTGTCGGTAATGGGCGAGAGCCATTCCGGGAGGATTGCAGGCGGGAAGAGTGGATTTCGAGCGTTGGTCGTGTATATCAACCTCGCCAGGACAGGCCCGCTGTAGTTTCGAGCTGAAAAAATGGGTAAAACGCTTTCTTTTGGGCATGTTTAGACTTCAAATCTCAGGCGAGAAGCTCCGTGGATAACGAAAACCTGGGCATTATAATCTACGACACGTAACCCTAACCCTACTGAGTGTCAAGTCTGTCATGTCAAGTCGAGGGAGATCCAGACTTGACTTGACTTGGAGACTTGACTTGGAGACTTGACTTAGTAGACTTGACTTGCTGACAGGGCTGTTAAATTCAAACCAAGATCCGCGAACCTTCGGTCGAGATTTCCCATGGTGGGCAACAACTCAACTCAACTCAACTCGGCCCTGAAGTTGGGTTGAGTTGGGCCTCCGGCCATCTGAGTTGATTGAGGCCATTCACAAGTTGAGTTGAGTTGCCGAGTTGCAACTCAACGCCAAGACCTTATGTAATACAGCGAAAAATATTGATCTAGACCTAAGCACCCTACTCTCCAGCCCCCTGAGCCAAACCAGAACCCCTACCGCAGCCGACTCCACTGCTTGAGGCTCTCCACGATATTGATAACATCATCATCAAGGCGGTGGCGTTGATGGCCAACTGTGTGCTTGGCCCTGCTGAATACCCTCTCGCACTCTGAAGACATCGCCGGTATCGTCAACAAGTCCAACGCCATGATGGAAAGGCGTGGAAAGTCGCTCCTTCTGCCAGGGCTCAACCACCACTCCACAGCATCGTGGATTTCCTGAGGTTCTTCAGATAGGTAGGCCTAAAGCTCATCCCTGGTTGCAGGGTCCGGCCGGCGAGCGTAGAAAGTGTGGCGATGCGGCGCGGCAACTGCGGCAGTCGTAATTAGCGTACGGTCGGAGGACGTCTGGACAGTCAATAGCTCGGTCGAGAGGTCGGTGTCGGCAACAGAAGCAACGGAGGGAGGCATAGTGGGTTCAGTAGGTGGTTAGGCACAGTACATAGTAAGGACAGGAAGGTCGCAGTCGGCTTGCCCCCCAGGTACGCGCGGCAGGGAAGACTCGATTGGCCTGCAACACCACCAAAAAGGGCCGAAAAAGTAGGAGGGCAGCCAAATTGCTTTGTTTGTTTCCGGATACCAGGTTTATCCGGTGCCGAAGCGCTGTTGGGCAATGACACGAACACCAAAACAGACTAGTGCCACGAGGAATTTCCAGGGGTCTTGGCCTCAATGTACCTCAACTCGCCAACTCAACCCGGCCCCGAAGTTGGGTTGAGTTGGGCCTTTTTTTTGCATAAGTTGGGTTGAGTTGAGTTGAGTTGAGTTGAGTTGAGTTGAGTTGAGTTGAAGTGAGTTGAGTTGATGCCCACCTTGAGATTTCCTGGAAGGAGTACCTGCATACGCCGGTGTTCCGTCGTACGCACTTTGCCCCGGATGGCCGCCCCATGAAGACGAAGAACCGATAACAAAGGCCTGTCTGTCGAGCCAGGCACCGGCTCGAGGGAACCGCACACCGATGGATGGGCTGCCGTACAAGAGCGAGATCGTGGCGGCGTGAACCTGGCGCGGTGTTGTGAAATGCCGCCCGTGCGCACAGGCTCCGGGTCGGAAGAGCAATTGATCCACACCTGATCTGGGCCTCATCTCTTCATTGCCGTTGCCGCGTGAACGCGGGGCACCTGAAAGTATTCCGCCACCTCTTCTCGTCCACCCACCCATCCACTCGCACGACCAGCAACGCATCAATATCCTTCATCACAATGAACCACGACGTTGCTGAAATGATGATGTTCTCGTTTTCCGGCGTTGAAGCCGACGAATTCGGTAAAGATAAGGATGAGATATTGCCTCTCTTGCTTCCGAAAGTCATGGAAGGCCGCCCCATTGGGTCGACGAGTCTCCTTCTGTGCCGACTGCCACCCGAGATCTTGGGGAACATTATGGATCTAATAGCAGATGACAAAGCTGCCCTTTCTTCCCTCGCCTTGGTGAATAGCGACTGCAGGCAGTTAGCTCGCTCCTGCCAATTCGCCAAGGTCTACTTCGATTACAGCCCAAATTCAAGGCGCTTGTTGCTCCAGCTCATGAAGGAGGCGATCGCCAGGCTTGGCCACGATGATCTAAGCAACACCACGCGGCCGCCGTTTATTGGATCTTGCATTCGCAGAGTTGTGGTCAAGCCCCGCTCAGACTGGGTCGCTCAGGCGCATAGCGATCTCTATAATTCCATTTGGGGGGACGCAGCCAACCGTCTCAGTTCGGAGCATCGCATCGCATTGTCCAAGAAAGCGACTGATGAGTACATTTCGATTTACCGCGATCCCGTCCAGATCGCCATGAAATTGGCAATGCCCCACCTAGAGGCGCTGTTGTGGCATGATCGACTGTGTCTCGATAGCGCCTTCTTTGGGACTGTTACAAATCTGCCTATTCGGCACCTTAGGCTGGCCGGAGTTCACATTGGAGAGATGTATCGCCTCGAGCCGCCACTCGCGCCGCTTGTCGTGCCATTGGAGTCGCTCTCTCTAAAAGTAGACCTCTGCGCCAACGAACGGTCTCATAGGAGCGAGACAGGCAGCGATGGCGATGCCGCTTGCTGGGAGAACAGAAGCTTGTCACCCTTCATACAAACCCTCCTACAGCGCTGTAGCACGACTCTCAGGCGTCTGACCTTGAGTTACGCGGCTTTTATGGGAGATAGTTCGCTTTCATTCGATGAAGACGTGTTCTTCCCCCATCTCCGGTACCTCGATATCTCCAGAAACATGAGCATTCCTGATGCACGAGTCTGGTCTTCGCTGTTTTCTGCACCGCTGAGACATCTCTCTCTGCCATTTCAGCGTTTGCCGGCCGGCCAACCCCTTCGTGACCTTGAGACGCTTGCCATATCATATCTCGATGGCGGGAACATGGGAACGGTACAGTCGATAATCGACTTCATTTCACGTCACCCGCACGTTCGGAAACTCTCCATTGGGAGAAGCACCCCCCATCTCCTGGACTCCCATCTTATTCCACTACTCTCTGATGGAAGATGGTCGAACCTAAGCTCCCTTTCGCTAGCATGGAGCGAAGTCAGCGAACCAGCGGCGGGAACACAACCAAACATGGCTACTATCTCGGCGGATTCCCTAACTGCTGTTGGCAGCATCGAATCTCTGGAGCAGCTATGCCTAAGTGCCGGCGAGCAATTTGGCTGGCGTCACCAGTGGTTGATCGACCATAATGCGGTACGATTGTGTCTACAAGGACTGGCAAGGCTCAAAAGGCTTGCGTTCTCACGAGATACGTACGTGCTTCCAGACGACGCGTCCGGCCCCATTGCGGAGGGGTATTACGAGTATCGGCGCGTGACATCGGCGGATCGGAATAGCGCCCTCGAACGACCGGAATTAGACAGGGGTGAAGATGTTGAGCATATGGCAGGAGACGAGGGTAGTAATGACGGCCCGGAGGCCGATAGCACAGAGGTTTGGGAACGTGCGCATCGCAACCGCATGCTCCGAGAAGCAGAAAAGTATGCCACCGTGTTCCCCCAACTAGAATGGATTTACTGCGGCCAGCGGCCCATGGAGATTCGAGCAAAACAGACGTCGAAGGATATACTTCGTGTTGCTATGCCTTTGAGCATGGAAAGAGACTCCTGCGACACATTCCTCGAGCAAATGTTCGCAATGAGGAGGGATGATGAATAATCGTATTCCGTCATTAGTGGGCCTGATGGTTTAGAGATTAGCATTGAAGGTGGAAAGGAGCCGAAACCGTCCTTAAAAGGATTTTAGCTATGTTACGAGATTCCTCCGTTCTTGTTATCTTGCTCTTATGGTTCTGTCAACAGTATATCCACCACACAGCGCACCACTTGAAGGACCGTGCGGTCAGCCGTTGCGAAGATTCACCCCTCTCCACCACCACGGATTTCAAGGAGATCAGGACATGTCTTGGGAAATGTATAGTCAGATTGTAATAGTTGCCGTTTCGGTTGACCCGCCGGGTGTAACGGTCCCAGGAGTATATTGCAACTATCTGGTGACGACTCTACGAGTACACTAAGCTTGAAGAAGAGAAAGAAAGACGAGAGAGTCTGGCAGCTCATGGGGCTGCTTTATGATCGCGAGTGCGGTGGCCCGAGCGCATTGCTAGAATGTTCGGTGTGCTGTGGGGCAACTGGGAATGGCTTCATCCAGGGGTTCGGTGGACCGTGCTTGGACGTGAGCTGGCCGAGGGTTACCGAGGCCCACCTCGGGCACAGCCCGTTACACCGGGCGTTAATAAGCTATCTACCTACTTACCATGGTAGCTGCCAGGTGTGTGAGCGGGATCTGAAGTTATGTATTATTATTATTCATACTCCGCTATGCCCTAGGGCGTGCCGGAACCTCTGCTATTCGGTGTACAGGAAACCCGTGACTTCCCGGGCCGGGTGAAAAACCCATACCAACAATCAAGGAACGTGCGTTCTGGTGAGTCTGCGTCTACAAAGAGAGGAGGCCTCCTGGCCTCCGGACGGGGGCGTTTCAGGCCGCCTCTTCCAGCTCGAGACCCCTGGCTAACCTGTACATCGGCAGCTTCACCGTGTCCATCACCCAGTCGAGGATCCTCCTCGCGAGCCGTGCAGTCGTGGGATTGATGCCGTGTAGAACAGAGTAAAAGTCCCGTCGTGTTCGAATTCCAGTTCTCTCCCATCTTCGAGTCAACGGTGGGGCCAAACACCACACTACCAGGTGTTCGGCAGTCTCTCGTCCCTCGCCACACTTGCAGGCAGGAGTCAGTACCTCCGGGACTCCCCGTGTAAACAAGAAGTCCCGTAAGCCTATTGCTCCCGTCCGGATTTGAATCAGCAGTGAGCTCTTCGCCTTGCTGAGACCGTCGTGCCTACTTAGGGTTTCGTTCCGGAATAACGTCTTCTGCTGATGGTCAAAGTCGTCCGCCGGCCTGGCGATTGCCCTGCCGTCCCGTTCCTTTAGCCACCTCGCTTTCCAAGCCTCTTCTACTGCCCTGTTCGTATCAACGATCCCCCCCGTCCAGCGCATGACCGTACCCGCGGCTCTCTCCACCGCCGTAGGCCCTTGAGGTCCCAAGGTTCGCGGTCGGCCCCTGTTGTCCCTCCTCGAGCTAAGTCTCTGCTGTATCTTGCGGCAGGCGGTGAGGACAACGATCGCCGCTGTCTTCTTGCCGCCTCGACCGTCGTCCAGATCGGGTCGTTGGAGTCGGTTTTCGAAATCTGCAAGCCGTTTGTTTAGGTACAAGTCCAATGGTGGTACCCATGCCTCTGTCTCGAGGTTACGGATGGGGGTAGACTTAAAGGCTCCCGCCACAATCCGCAAGCTCTTGTTCTGGGCCTTCCCGAGGGCCTTAGTGATGCCTATCTTTGCCGGCTCGCCTCCCACATCCGTGGGGATGTGAAACGATGATGCGCCATAGCCCAGCGCCGACCGGATGCACTTTGTGTACACTTCTCGCGCTTTGGCTAGCCCCATTCCCCATGTCTTTGCCACGATCCTCGACAGGGCATAGCTCTGGGTCCTCAGCTTTTTCTTCACCGCCACCAAGTGGGCCTTCCAGTTGAGTTTCCAGTCCAACCAGACTCCCAGGAACCTGGCAGACCCTTCTGGTTTAACGGGGCTGGTGCCTCCCCCGTGGGGAACTATTTGGGAGCGCTGTGGCCCCATGACAGTTTCGGAGGCCCCATCTTGTACTTGTATCTATTTCGGGTTTGGAATAACCGTATCCGAGCTCTTTCTTGGCAAGTCTTCCAAGTCAAGTCAAGTCGGGGGCTGATCAAGTCAAGTCCGAGGCCAGACTTGACTTGACTTGACTTGTTGACAGCGCTGCAGTGTACACCCCCGCGGGTACGTCCTCGGGCATAAACGCGTGGCAGAGGCGGCGGGCGGCCCTCGTAGTAGCTGACGACGCGCTTCATAGGCTTAGTGCTGTCGAGGGGGCACGACGGGCGCTTGAACTTCTTGTCGGTGCAGAATTCAGCTGTCGCGCCGCAGTACCCCCACTTGGAGCACGCATTTAAGGGGCACTTCTGGAGCTCGACGTAGTCGGCTCCAAACGTGCCCGGGTCGCACTGCAACTTGGCATCGCAGCCTGCTACGCAGACCTCTGGGGAGCAATAGTCTTTTCCAAAGCCGCAGAAGCCAAACTTGGAGCAGCACCCCGTCGCGCACTTCTTGGTGGCGCTGCACTCCTGGGCCGCTGCTGGCAGGATCACCAAGAAGATGCTGACCAGAGAGATGAAAAGGAGCGTGCCGGAACGCATCGTCACTGTCTCCTGTGCCGAGCTAAGGGACTCGCAGACCTAGGTGAAAAAGAGTGATGAGACCTATGAAGTAAGGCCCTGAGTACCCAAGACGAGAATTTATTGTACCTTATCGACCCAGATAGTTAAAGCTTATAATCTTGTGATACTGGATCACCCCTGGTCCAAGCTTCAACCCGGCGACCAGCCGCGGCATGTCAAACCCGCGCCTGGAGATTCCTACTTGTAATTAAACCCTAAAAGTGCAGCTCCGGAGATGAGCTGCCTGGCCATCATGGTTCCAGTCCATCCAGACCCTGGTATATTCCATTCCAGACCCGCTGCCCAGTCCCAGCTCAAGTTAGCGCGGTCCGTGCCGTCGATAGTGACAAAACGTTTTTCGCCCAACTCCGCAACCAGATGCTGGAGGCCCTTGTTTGGAAATGTGTTTTCGAGGATAGTAACTATATTGTTGGCGGCACAAGTGATTTAGTAGGCGAACCTCGGCGCGAAAGACAAGGGGCTGTCTGGTTGGTTCCCGAGCCAATTTCACACCTTTGTCCAGGGGCGATCCATGAGCTCCCCAAGGCTCAAAGCTGAGTCCCATTTACAGGAAGCGGCGAAAGGAGCTCATGTCAGATATTACCAGTGCCTTACCTTCTATCCCCTCTTCTAGTACTGCTCGACGACGGGCCCCACTAGTACATGTACCTACTAACTAATTCTCAACAACGCGGACCACATCGGGTCGGTACAAGTACCCTCCTTTCTGGGCTCCGTCCTGTTTCCTTTTCCGCCTTGGGTATTCTCTGTTCCCGGGACGCCCTCAAACCCAAGACGTCTCCCGCTTATCATGAGTCTTTCTTTACATCGCCTCTTGATTTTCCTTCTCGATAGCTTTCTGTTTGTCGCCTAGCTGCTGGGGGGGTCACCATGACGCCGACGAAAAAGCCCCTCGGTTTCTTCATGTTTGGCTCGGTGGCGCGAGCCAGACGGCGCTAGGGCGTAACATCACGGGCTACACGCTGCTCACGCACGACGACCTCGCTACGTATAATTTTTCAGAAGAGTGCAAGACGGCGCTGACGGCCACCATTGCCTGCGCCACTACCACAATGCACTGGACGTCCCCGGCCTACCGTGGGTCCCTGGGCAACGCGACGCTGCAGGACGAGGTGTGCGACGTTGGCTGCGGTACCTCGCTTGCCTCGTGGTACCAACAAGTCTCTGCTAGCTGCGCTGACTTCCGTTGGCCTTCGTCGGGCGCCGTGCTCGAGATGGCCGGCGGCTACATATGGTACGGCTACAACGAGAGTTGCTCCACTGATAGCAAGACGGGACGGTACTGCAACGATGTTATCGGTGACTTCAGCGTGTTCGAAACGCTCGACGGCGTGCCCGACAGCGAGCTCTGCTCCGACTGCTTCACGGCTCGCATCCGCATGATGCAGCAGAGCGCTACTCGATATACAACACGGTCCCGTGGTACCAGCGAGCCCTCAAAGCCCTCAACGCCCGCTGCTCGCTGGCACTCCCCGATGACGTGCCTCCGCCCTTGATCGAGGTCCCAAAACCCAGGCCCTTCTGTGTCTCGGACAAGTATTACACCATCAAGGCAGGTGACAACTGCAACTCCATTGCCCTCGCCAACAGCGTCTCGTCGGCCGACGTTGTCGATGCCGCCCAGGTGGTTGGAGACGTCGTCGGTGGCTGCAGCGGCCTCCCGGTGGGGATGGAGATCTGCCTCCCCTTGACGTGTACCACGTATTCGGTCCTGCCCACGGACAGTTGCATGACCATCTCGGGCATAGCCGGCATCCGCGACCTCCAGCTCTACAACCGCTGGATTGACCAGAGTTGCGACAATCTCCACGAGGCCAAGGCCACGCTGGGTTACGTCGTGTGTATCTCCCCTGTCGGCGGCGCTTACGTGCCCGGCACAGCGACCGTGTCCGGCACAGCGACCAACACACCGGGTGTCCCCCACGATGGCTCGGCCGGAACCAGCCCAATCGCCGTGGCCCCTCCGGCCAACGCCATTATCGCCTCGGGCACCATCAAGACCTGCGGCCGATGGCACGTCGCCGAGGAAGGCGACACGTGCGCATACATAAGCATGGCATACAAGATTGGATTCGACCTGCTCGCCGGCATGAACCCCTCCATCGAGAACAAGACTGCCGATAAATCCTGGCCCTCAATTGTCCCGGGATATGCGTACTGCGTCTCCCTCGTCCGGGCCCCGCCGCCTACTCCTCGACCCCCTTACACCCCCAAGTCCCTAGGCTACTGGCTCAATCCTGATAAGTCGACCCGAATTCTGCGGGGCACAGCCTGGGCTAACGACGGCGTAACGATCGAAACGTGCGCTAAGGAGTCTCTCGAAAATGGATACGACATTGCCGGCATTGATAGCAGATCCTCCCCTCCTACGTGTATCTGCGGCGACCTCGCGGCCCCCAACACAGCCCGGCTCTCCAAATCAGCCTGCACCGCCGACGAGGGCATCAACCTGTATGCCCTCCGCGAATACGCCAAGCTCAGCGTGCCGTTCGAACCAGTCGGGTGCTTCGCCGACGCAGCCCTCCTCACGGACGCGGGCGACGGCACTCCCGCTCCCAGCAACACGGATCCGGTCTCGGTCGCGCGGTGTTCGGCCTTTTGTTTTCCTGAATATCCCTTTTTTGGGCTGTCGAACGGCAACACCTGCCGCTGCGGTACGGGTATGGCCGAAGGCGCGACACCCCTGCCCGAGCTGGAGAACTGTAACCTGCCGTGTAGCGCACGAGGCGACATGACCTGTGGTGGCGCCGAGGCAACGCACATTTACGCGGCGCAGGTCATTCTTAACAACGATTAGTGGTAACAACACACATATGCCTTCCAACTTGCCACTACCGCCCGCCGCGCTGGCACCAGCCCCGGCGGCCTCGGTACCTGCGGGAGGCCTCTGTCATCTGCTTCCAGTCTAGGCAGGCACACACACACGGCTGGGCAGTTTATACCTACCACTTAATCTCATACTGTCCTGTGACGAACCACTGCAAGTCAACATGAATTGTTGAGCCGCCCGCTTCGGGCACGCCTAAGTAGGCCGGCGTTGGGGAGGGAGAATGTGGTGGAATACCAATAGCTAGAAAGAGTGTCCTGCAACGGGATCCATAAAGTCTTATCCCCTAAATTTTGGAGGCAATACCAAATAAAGAAGCCCGGGATGGGACATGCATATACAGGTAGCCATGGCCGAAGAATACCTCACTGCATGTAGACTACCATTTTCATAACTCTCAACCTTGCCCAACCTTGGGCTCGTCACCGTGCGATAATGTGTCACTGGCCACGGGTCAGCTGGTATATTCTATGCTCAGGGGGAGCTGTTGCCGGCTGCATTCAGGCTCTCTCATACGATTTCTCATACAAAATCCGAAAGACTGTCTCACTCTGGTTTGCTCATTACTGTAGTGTGCGTAGTTAGGTAGTTTCTATTTCCATATTGTAATAAACCTGACAAGGGGCAATGCCATCTGGATTTAACCTCCTGATCATGAGTCGAGTTCCATTCTGGCTGCATTAGTAATTGCCTCACTCCATGTCTCTTCAATGACCCAGTGCCTCCTCTTCGGGGAATGGTTTGGGCTACGTGACCAATAGGTCTGACCCGGTTAAACGGGAGATATCTGAGGGGCAAGACTCGGGGCTCCGCAATGGCCGGATGTTCAACCGCCGTCGAGGGGTATAAGTGAATCAACACAATTCCCCTCAGTGAGTTTGGACTCTTGATTTCGAGGGAGAAAAAAAGCAAGTACCACAGCTATTATATCACCATGGCACCCATCAAAGTCGGAATCGTAGGCTACGGCTTCTCAACGAAGGTCTTCCACCTGCCGTTCATTCTCCCCAACCCGGAGCTCGAAGTCTACGCCTTTCTGCAGCGGGCAGCGGCTCCTACTGACCCGTCTCAAACACCGCGCTGGGGCCATTGCACCATCGACTTCCCCAAGGCAAAGCACTACCGAACAACCGATGAGTTTTATGGCGACGAGCAGATCGAGCTGGTTATTGTTTGCACCGGCACCCACGAGGAGTTTGTTGAGAAGGCTCTGCTGGCCGGGAAGCATGGTGAGTGGGACGATTTGTGGTGTTGGGTTATTACCAGTTTCAAGTCAGGAGACTGATGGCCGCAGTTGTCGTCGAGAAGCCTTTCGTGAATACTAGTGCCGAAGCGGACAGGCTTATCGCACTAGCCAAAGAGAAGGGCAAGATCTTGACCGTTTTCCAGAGTCAGTACACCGTCCCCAGGCATCCAATGCCTCTTATTCGCTGACGACCCCCCAGACCGAAGGTTCGACAGTGACTTCCGCACGCTGCACCACCTGGTGAGCAACGGCGCTCTCGGCGATATTCTGGAGGCAGACATCCGCTTCGACTACCCCGACCCGGGCTGGATTTCAAACTGGACCAAGAAAGAGTATGTCCCTGGCCAGGGAATGACGTTTGCGCTAGGTAGGTTCTAGACCGAGATCGCGAGCTCCAGGGACTAACCTTCCCAGGCACCCACACGCTCGACCAGGCCTTGTATCTGTTTGGAACCCCCGCTTCGGTGACGGGTTTCTTCCGGTCGAACCGCGGGGTTGATAGCGACGTCGACGACACCCACACCATCATCCTGCAGTATGCCGGGAAGCAAAAGAACTTGATCGTAACGGTGAAGACGGCGGTCGTCACGCATATGCAGGACCAACTGCGCTTCTTCGTCCGAGGCAACAAGGGCACCTATCTGAAGGTAGCCATTCCCGCCCCTTTTCCGCTCTTAACCATCGGTGCTAACGAATGTGGTTAGTTCGGGACCTGCCCGCAAGAAAGCCAGGGTATCGCTGCTCCCGGACAGCCGGCAACGGGTCCAGAGTTTGGTGTTGAGAATGAGCGCATCTGGGGTACCCTGACCACCACGACCGAGTTTGACGGAAAGGTCCAGCGGTATGACGAGGAGAGCAAGAAGTACGTCGGCAAGTACCCCAGTCTTCGGGGATGGTACAGGGGATATTATGAGAATGTATCTGCTGCTCTTTTGGGACGCGAGGAGATTTTTGTCAAACCGGAGACCTCGAGGGACGGTCTGCGGATTATCGAGCTGGCGAGGGAGTCGCATGAGAAGGGATGCACAGTGGCATGGTCATAGAAAGCGGAGCCGACGACCGGTGTGGGTTGGGAGGGGTAGCACTAGGTAATTTCAAGGTTGGATGGGGAATGTGAGGAGCGAGGGGCCTAGGCAATTGAAACTCCTAGTCTGAGACATTCAATCCGATCTCAATCCGATCTCCATCCGATCTCACACAAACAAAGAGAAACAACGGCCAGACGCTAAATCGCGAATAGAATAGGCTGCACACATGGTTGTATTGATTACGTACGATTCTTTTCCCCGGGCTCCCCTCCAACATGTCCTTGGAGGTGCATGTCTTCATCTCGACCCCCCCTCGATTTGGTGTAACGTACTATCCCAAAAGGTCAACACCTGCTTCATCGTTAACCGTACCCGGCGTTAGGGCCTCACGACGGCGAATGAAGTGCTTTGGATAATGATCACATCCGGTTAGCTCAGATGGGGAAATGCAAGGTCGGGGTAAGCTGGAGGCAAGTTATCGGAGACGGCTTCTCTTGTTCAGTTACCTCAGGTACCTACCTTACCTACACAGGCGTGACAGGATAAAGGAGCGACCCTTCGAGACATGCGCGTCGAAGCGAGTCGAGGAAATCGCCATCGGCCGGTCCGAACCAACCACCTTAACCTGATCCGCAACCGCCAATCTTGTCCTCTCGTACCTTCCCGCAGTGGGATCGACCCACCATAAAATCAGAATTGCAGCATTGCCTGCCACTGCCTGCCACTGCCTGCCTGTCCCAACCCTGCCCCAACCTGCGCAAACCTGCCCCCAACTTGCTTCCTTCCTACCTTGCTGCGCCTGCGTTGAGAGAAACTTGCATATTTGCCTCTGGGCTTGCATTGCTTTTGCATGTCTTTGCATGTCTTTGCATGTCTTTGCATGTCTTTGCATGTCTTTGCATGTTTTGCAGCCCTCAGTCTCGGGTGACGAGGGTGACTGGCCAGCACTGATATTGTGACTATTGTCCCGTTGGAGGCAATCAGACCCGAAGACCCGCACTGCCAATACGGCGAACCGGCAATGCCTGTCATGCAGCCCTTCGTTGGTTTTCCTTGGATCCCGTCGGATCCTGTCCTGTTATCGGAGGGGCTAGATCCTCGGGGCGCCCCAACGGTTAGTAACTGCATGTCATGGCCTGGCAGGGCAGTGCTCGGGAGCTTGTTATCGTTGCCTCAGCCCTCGAGTGATCTCGATTGTTTCCTTCCGTTGCCTCCTCCGCTGTCCCAATTCGTTGTCTTGCCAGTAGTGAACTACCTGGGTCCGAATCTCAATGGACGAGGTAGACTACGACCTCTTCCACTCTCCAACGAGCTAGCCTTTGATCGTCCTCAATCTCTCCAAAGCGTGACGGCGTGCGTAGGAGGTCGATTCTGAGATGGAGCAACCACAGCCCCGACCGGCGGACATTAGGATCGAAACCGAAAGATTTGACGCTCTCGCCTACTCCTATCCCTCTTCCCAACATGCCGTACAATCTCTCGCCGGTTGGGGAATGGAATCGAGCCACGCCTCCGAGCCGATAAACCAGTTCCAAGAACTGTCCACGCCGATAGGATGGGCCCAACAGATGTCGACGACAGCACCGAGCACCCTGGGTTTGATAACGGCGGCGGAACCGCAGTATGTTCCTCAGACAACGGACTGGCACCAAGATTCAAGCTTTGGGTACGCTGGCTTTGTCGAGTCGGGTTGGTCGCGGTCGAATTCGGTGTTTTGGGATCCTGACGCGTTTGTCACGGCCAACAACCCACAACTAGCAGCCGATGTAACCACTCTTCCGCCGTCAATCGCCCCAGCTTACTCTCCTCCACAACCCGAGATCGAATCACCGGTTTCCCTCTTGTCGACCGACTGGCAAAACGACGGCCTAGACCGGCACCGGCCCTACCAACTCCCACCGACCAGCGGATATAACTTCGGTAGCGAGGGAAGAAGCGGGGTGGATGGGACATGGGATGAGAGTAAGCCGAGACGGCCGCCCATCCAGACGAAGGACCTTTACGGTGCCGATCACTCAATAAACCGGTTTGCTACCCTGCCGGGGAGACGAGACTCGGCCTCGGACATCAGCAGCCACACGGCCTCCCCCGCATACAGCGTGGTCGGGCCGAGTTTTGACGACGTCGACGCTGCCGACGCTGCCTACCTCAGCGACACCACCACCGTCTCCTTCAGCAAACCAACCCGCCCCCGCCGACGAGCAACCCCGCCCTCCCCGGCAACAGCGGGGGATGATCACAATGACAGCCACCACAACCACGACCACGGCCTCCTAAAAGAACCCCCCTCCCAACACCAAACCGAAACTCCAACCGAAACCCAACAACCCCCAACCCAACCCCCGACACCAACCCCATCCCAAGCGCGCACCCAAGCCCGCAACCGCAACCGCGCCGCCGCCTCCCGCTACCGCGCCAAAACCCAAGCCGCCTCCGCCCGGCTGGAAGCCACAGCCCGCACGGCCGCCGCCCGCCACCGCGTGCTGCGCGCCCGCGCCTCCCGCCTGCGCGACGAGGTCGTCCGCCTCAAGCACGAGCTGCTGGCGCGGCATGCGGGGTGCGATTGTGCCATGATTAGGGGGTATTTGGAGGGGGCGGTGAGGGGGGTGCTGAATTGTTGAGTTTGAGACTTGTGGATGGTGAGTAGCTGGGCGTTGGTGTCGAGAAGGGGGAGGAGGGGAGTTCGGCGGGTGGGCGGTAAGCGTTCTTGGGTTTGATAGGGATGGGTAGTGACGGACAGGATATGAATCATATGGTAATGACTGATGACTGGCGGCGATCTGACCAGAAGCATTGTGGGTGCGGAAAAGTTGAGCGTCGTGTCGGTGGCCTGTTTCATGTTTTCGTGTCCCTGAGTATCAAGGGCATGCTTTGCGTTGCCCTTGCCGGGTGCAATGGTATTGAGTGACGGTTCGATAGCAACGGAACGCAATGTTGAACGGAAACCTCAGCGGCTGGTAGCTGCTGGTACTGCATCAGACCGTTGCTGGGAGTTACCCCTGTTTCTATCCCTAGTCAGTGTTACGGTAGAATGGCGGCGTCCAATACTGACATACGTGCTCGTGATCAGGATAGAAACCCATAGTTGAGCTTTTGTACGTCCACGATGACAGGTCAAATCCTAGCAAGAAACAGGGCCCGAGAGGCGGGAGATTATGCATTTAGCAATGCACGTACCCCTAGCTCTGGCGTTTGCATGCCGTGTGCTGTCGACAAACAAAGGGAGGAAGTCGGTGGCCATAAGTTGTAGCCGAAGCCATTGCTTTTGGAAATATATGATGCGGTTCGAACGTAGGTGCGGGTGGCATGATAATGAGGCGTGCAGCGCACACGTGAATACTCTGATTCGTCCGTGCTTCGGTCAGGATCCAGAAAACACGAAATTAAGCTCGCCGCTGGACCGGATGGCACCAACCCGCCACCTTGCACGACATGGACACGAGATTGTGACCTCATCCATACCCAAACGAGAGCGTGGCCGGCTTGGCATTGTGGTGAACGTGGGGGTAGCCTTGTTCCTCCCTCAGGGACGGTTTGCCGCCTCCCCGGTCTCGTGTTCCTGGTTTACGCCTGGATCATGCCAAACGACAATGGTAAATAATCTGCTCGTCGGTCGGGTCTTCAGGCTCCCAATCTCACTTTCAGTTAAGAGAGTATTGGGGCTCATGGACGGGATCAAGGTGGACTGCGCGGCCAGAAGACTGTCTGTCTCGCCCACACGGAAAGTTGTCTTGAGGTACATTCCAGCGCTCTACTTTGAGCCGGCCGCCGACCTCCAGTTATTAGAGGTCATGATGGTCCGCTGCTTCTCGGTCGGTTCCCTCCGTTCCGGCCTTTCTTGCCCCTCCTGGCCCTCCTGTCGGCCATTCTCCGGCCGCCTCCCCGACGCGGACGAGCCAGACTGCCGCGACCAGCCGTAGTTGGTCCCGTTGGGCTCAAACGCAGGGCCCTTGCTCCTCGGCACCGAGACGCGCAGGTTCCCGCCCTCCACCGCCTTCCCGTTCAGCTCCTGCAGTGCCCGATCGGCCTCCTCAGCAGAGCTGAAGTCGACGAAACAGTAGTGGTGGTTCCCCGGCGTCGCCCGGGTCTCGGCGCGCGGAGTGATCCGCTTGCCGATGGCAACGCTGGAGGTTGTGAGTTTTCAATACGCCGTAAGGTGGGAAGATTTGGGCACTTACAACTCGAAGCCTGCGAGAATATCCTGCATTTCGGCATCGTGCTGTTCCTGGCTGGTCATCATGCCAAGGCCGCCGATGTAGAGCTGAGCCTTGTCTGTCGCGCGCTGACTCCTGTTGTCCAGGTGGCGAATGGCGCCGTACGGGCCCTGCTCCCCCTCGCGCCGGGCGGGCTTAGAGTCGTTGCCCTTCCAGTCACCCCACCGTTGGAAAGTAGGGTTATGGCCGCCTTCGCTTCGGTCACCACTCCGGTTGCTATTACCCCAGCCCCGAGACTGAGAAGGCGTCTTGGGATTGCACGGTCCGACCTTGATTTGGCGGTTGAAAAGCGCACTGCCGGGGAGGGCCTCCAGGGCCCGGTCTGCCTCTTCACGGGTGGTGAACTCGGCGAAGCAATAACCCGGGTTCCTGCCGCTGACGGGGTCGATGGAGATGTGCAACTTCTCAAATGATTCGGCAAACCCAGCCTGGCGAAGCAGGTCCTCGACGTCGCCGGGTTGCACCGAATAGAGCAGGTTACCCATGTAAATGCGGCGCCCTTCGGCGAGGGCATCGCGCTGTTGAGGTCCCGAACCGGCGTCCATGGTGTCCAAAGGGGATTTCGGGTGGAGAAAAGTACTGCGAGTGTGAGATGTTTGGCGAAGAAAAATTCAAGGCTCACCGCTTGGCATCTGATGTCGAGGGGCCAGCCCAATCCGAAAATTTTCCCAAGTGAAGTTCGGGTTTCGACAGTTTGTGGATTAGTGGGTACGGGCGGCCAGTTAGGGAAAGGCCTGGGCTGTTAAGGGGCTCTGCCTCACCCAATCGCTATCCAAAACCTCCTGTGTAAGAATAAGGGGTAAAGGGGGTGGGAGCCGAGTGATGAATACCTCAAATTACATATTTGAGATAGGAAACTCCAGAGGTGGCAAAACACGCCATTACCTCACTATCCGCGCATGTATACAAGGAATGCTCAATAATGATTCCCCGGTTGAAAACTGGATTGAGCCAATTCTTGAACCTGATCTCCCACATGATTCTGATGAATTGAATGTAATTATTACCGACCTAGTTTATTGGTCTATTTTGGCCATCTCTTGGGCCGTTAAAAGGGGATGTACGCAGTGATAGTCGTTTTACGATGCCACCATGCTTCACTCTTTTATTCATAGCTTGCTTGGAATCCTTGCATGGATTGAAATGAGCACTAGCTCTTGCGTCTTGCTTCAACCCCTGAGGCCCCAAATACAGTACTGGGCTATCGTATCATGTACCACAGTATAGAAGCACGAAGACGTGAAGGACGAGTAAACTTTCGCGGATTATAACGTCCTCCTTTTGTTTAGCTACGACTAGAACTACTGCAACGTAGTTGTAATTATTGCAAATAACCGCCATGACTGGATAACCTCGATTTCTGCAAGACTCTAACCATCGCTAGGAGACACCGAACAAGATTCAAGGGAGGAACGAACCTTTAAACATTCTTTTACCCCTCCTATCTAGTTGAACTTGCTACAATCATTGTATCCGTGGGTTTGATTGTGTACAAACGAGGCGCGGGCCCAAAGACATCACAAGCTTTACTTTGAAGTGCACCAAGTGCGTTGGAGATCAACGTTAAGTCGTGAACGACCGAAGCTGACCCGGGTATACGTCAGAGACACTCATACTGCGAATTCTTCGTTACCAAACTGAGAAATAAAATATTACCATGACCAATTCAGCGTGCCAGAATGGGCCATGACGGCGTCACCATACACTAGAGTTCTTGTTCCTGAAGGCCTTTCTATGTGGTACCATTGGGTCCGACTGGAATGGCCGACCTGGATGTTGATTTGCAACCGCCCCTATCAAACAGATCGATTTCGTCATCACAGATGGACGGGTGCACATCGAAATGACGCGGACCGTGTTGGTATTCGAACCTGCCACATTCTCTCCTTCCAATACCACCAGCCGCCCCAATGGGAATCAGACCGTTGATTGTAATCGGGGAAGCCCTCGGCCCGGTGAGGGGGTCGTGCAGACACAATGTCGATCCAGGGGTGTAAGTGGGACGGCTACGCTATAGGCTATCTCCGTTTACCCGCCGGTTGAGAATGGAAATGCAGGTCCAGCGAGGGACGGCTGTCATTGACGTCAAGGGTAGAAGCTATATACCGGAGGGCCAGGGACCTTTACGGTCGAGTTCTCGACAACCCTCACCGTAGCGACGAAATCGATCACCATGAGACCGTCATTGTCCCTGAGGCTGGCGTTGGCGAGCGCCCTGTTCGCAAACGGCGTCATAGGCTTTCAATACCCCGATTGTGCCAATGGACCGCTCGCAGACAATACAGTATGCGATCCAAAGGCAACCCCTCCTGAGCGGGCGGCCGCTCTCGTCAAGGCCCTAAACATCGAGGAGAAGCTCCAAAATCTCGTCGAGTACGTGTTACACATACCCAATCCCATTCTAACCATGGCAGCTGACATGCCTCAGTATGAGCAAAGGTGCCGAGCGACTTGGATTGCCTGCATATGCCTGGTGGAGCGAGGCTCTCCATGGCGTTGCGGCGTCCCCGGGAGTGCGATTCAACCGGACTGCTGGAGGTCGTTTTTCGTCTGCCACCTCATTTGCGAACTCCATCACGCTCTCTGCGGCTTTCGACGATGAACTTGTGTACAAGGTAGCGGATACCATCAGCACCGAGGCTCGCGCTTTTGCCAATGCCGGGCTTGCTGGCCTGGATTACTGGACACCGAACATCAACCCCTACAAGGATCCCCGATGGGGAAGAGGCCACGAGGTATGGTGCAATGAGGATATTGTTTGCCTAATATTAATTAATCCATCTAGACACCGGGCGAGGATCCAGTCCGAATCAAGGGGTATGTCAAGGCACTCCTGGCAGGCCTCGAAGGCGATGATCCCTCCATCAGGAAGGTGGTTGCTACCTGCAAGCACTATGCGGCGTACGACTTGGAGAGGTGGCAGGGAACCACGAGACACAGGTTTGACGCTGTAGTTTCCCTACAGGATCTCTCCGAATACTACCTGCCGCCGTTCCAGCAGTGTGCTCGCGATTCCAAGGTTGGCTCATTCATGTGCTCGTATAATGCACTCAACGGCACCCCCGCTTGTGCGAGCACATATCTCATGGACGACATCTTGCGGAAGCACTGGGGCTGGACGGAGCACAACAACTACATCACCAGCGATTGTAACGCTATTCAGGTCAGTATTCCTCTCATGCAGTATGGTCTACCTGTGCTGATGAAAGCAGGACTTCCTCCCCGGCCCCAAGTGGCACAACTTTAGCTCGACCCAAACAGAGGCTGAAGCAGCAGCAGTTGCTTATCAAGCCGGTACCGACACAGTTTGCGAGGTCCCAGGCTGGCCCCCGTACACAGATGTCATCGGAGCCTACAACCAGACCCTGCTCTCTGAGGAGGTCATCGACACAGCCCTGAAGCGGTTATACGAGGGACTTGTCCGCGTTGGGTATTTCGACCCAGCGAGTGGCAGCCCCTATCGGTCAATTGGATGGGAGGATGTCAACACCCCTGAGGCCCAAGAGCTGGCATTGCAGTCTGGGACGGATGGTCTAGTGCTCCTTAAGAACGACGGCACCCTACCCCTGAACCTCGAAGACAAGACGGTAGCACTCATTGGATTCTGGGCAAACAGCACCAACGGCGGCCGGATACTCGGCGGATACAGCGGGTTTCCACCCTACATCCACAGCCCCGTCGACGCCGCCGAAAAGCTGAACTTGACCTACCACTATGCCTCGGGCCCTCTCGCAGAGAACATCACCCAAGCCGCTATTGACGACTGGGTCGCCAAGGCCCTGGAGCCTGCCAAAAAGTCCAATGTCATCCTCTACTTCGGCGGCACCGACACCAGCATCGCCGCTGAGGATCTCGACCGTGATTCAATTGCCTGGCCCGAGATCCAGCTCGCCGTCATCGAAGCGCTCTCCGCCCTTCGGCAAGCCCCTGGTCATCATCCAGCTCGGCGAC